GTAGAGCGCTGGGTTCCGAAGCTGCCCGCGGCCTCTGCAGCGCCGGTTCGATCCCCGGCTGCTCCCCGGCCACCGGAGGAGGGTCCCACATGGCGCGCAGACCTCTCCTGCCGCCCGCTGCTCCCCTCAGCAGTGTCCTTCGGTCCTTCTGCCTGCTCTGCTCCCTGCTCTGGCTCTGGTGAATTCTCTCACCCTCCCGCACTTCTGACTGTACCCAGTGCATGTATAAACAAAACAAACAAACAAGCAAACAAACAAATAAAGAAAAACATGCCTCTATAAAAAAAAAAAAAATAAAAAATAAAAACATGTTTACAAAGAGTTTATCACATGAAAGTGCCTTCTGTCCTAAAATAAAAGGGGAAAGAAGAAGTATGCGATAGAAATGAGTAATTTATCACACTATCTAAAAGCAAGCAAACAAACCTCACCAGCAAAAGGCAGTCAGGGTAGGGAAGAAAATGTGAACAGACTGTTGTTTCCCTCTAAGTTTTAGTCTCCTCTCTTTTCCAACTTTTGAAAATACATACAATATTACTAATAAAGTAAGAAACACACACTTTCTTTTTCAAAATGACATTGAGGGAGTGGAGCAGAGAGACTGTTTGAGGCTCAAAATCTGGGCCCCAAGCCCCACCCCAGTGCCCAGAGATGCCCTCAGGGTTTGTGGCCAAATTAGAAGGCGCCCCAGGACCTGTGGCTCTGGCCTTCCCCGCCCCAAACCACAGGGCACAGGCAGGGCAAGGGAGTACCATCAAGTAGTTCTGCCTGTTCCAGAAATGACACCTCCAGGGGGGCAGTGTCCCCAGGGAGAGACAGCACCTCCCTTAAGAGACGGGGCTTCCCCCAAGGCACGGAGGATTAATCCTGTCCCTCAGGAATTCCCAGAAAGGACTCAGGAGGGGAATTTCCCAGACAGGCAGACAGACAGACACCTCACCACAGCTCCTGCCGCTAAGCACAGATGTTTGCCTGGGGGTGGCGGCAACGCTGGGGCCAATGCAGACGCGCACCCCTGTGGTGAGAAGTTGCCCAAAGCAAGAACCACAACGAGACCCGTCTGGACAGGCTGGGGGCTGGAAGGAGGGGGCACCGTGGGAGCTGAGATGATCTGCAGGTCGAGACACCAAGTCCAAGTCCCTGCTGTGGTCTCTTGTCTAGACCCCACAGTGCCTGCAACTCTGCTCTCGAACCAGCAGGCGTCGCAGCGTCTCTCTGGGCGTCAGGGCAGAGCGAGCCAGTGGGGTGGGTCCACAGACTGGGCTACAGGGCCCTAGGCAAGTCTGTCAGATGAGTGGGGGGTTTTCTATTTCTGAGGACATCCTACGGGCTGGGATTTCACCTCAGTCTCTCCCTTACACTTGGCTGCTACCACACGAACGAACCCCCTCTGAACGCACAAATAGAAGGAGAGAAGAGTGATGAGATCAAAGCCCTAAGAGAGAATGTAGGGGACAGGGCCAAACTGGGCAAGGAGGGCTCCGCGTGGTATTCGGGCCCAGAAATTACCCCCACCTTTTCTCCACCCGGTTTACTCCATACCTAGACACCGGTAGGGCGGGAACGGACGTGGCCCAGCCAGGCTGGGCCGAGCGAGCCCAAACCTGCCCAGCCCGAGCAAGCGGCGCAGCCCAGGGACCCTAGACGTACCCACCCAGCAGACCCTGGTGGTCAGAGAAACGGTGGAACGTGCCCCAAACCGTTTCCTTCGGGGGCAATTCTGCACCAACCCCTCTGCAGAGCTACTATCTCCTCCTCTCTAACCCCTCTCCTGGCTTCTCATCTGGGCATTATGTCCCGCAGAAGTTAAGCACCTATTTATTGATCATTTACCATGCGTGCGAGGTGCTGTGTCAGGCGCTGACAACACAGCTATGAACAAAACAATATTCTCTACCCTCATGGAGCTTCCATATTGCAGGACAATGGAAGCAGGGAAGGGGTCACCTCGCCAAGGACACGTAGGAAGCCGACACCCAGGGTCCACCCAGTGAGCAAAATGCTCGTGAGGCGCTACCTTGGGACCGGTCAGCAGAAGACTTTGGCCCTGGCCGGAGTGGCCGGCTGCACGTCAACCCAACGCCGGGCTGGGCACGTTGCCTGGGTCAGGTGCGAGGGAAAGGTGGGAGGGGGAGGCCGTGCGCAAAGCCTGGCCCCCTACAGGCCACCGGGTTACCGGACTTGGCACCCACAGGGCGCTCAGTAAATATTTATGGTACTCGCTGCCAGCCAGGGGGCCGGCCGGGGCCCTCCCTCGTCCCAGTCTCCTCCCCGGCGGGGTCAGCGCCGGAGTAGCCGCGGCGTCCCGGCCCCACGTAATTACAGAGGCTGTCGCCAGGCCTGGCCATAAAAGAGGAGGATGAAACGGCCTGAGAACCCGGGAAGCTGGGCCCGAGCTGGCCGGGGAGGGGGGCCTGGGGTTGCAGCTCCCCGCGATGCACAGTCGCGAGGAAGGGCTGGCCAGGGGTGCGCGGACGCTCGCAACACCAGCCGGGGGCGCGCCGGCAGTAGTCAACCACCCACGCGCAGACACACACACACACACACACACACACACACACACACACACACGGGCCTAATCGAACACCTGGCCGCCCTCGCCACCCCAAGAGCTGGGAGGCAGACACCCACCCGCCAACCCCTCTCTAGACAGTAGCAGATCCCGGCGGGAAGGGAGCGCTGAGAGGCGAATTCCACCGGGTTTGTTTACATGGCACGACGGAGGGGGCCGAGCTGGGTACTGGGGCCTGATTGACTGGGAGATCCTGCCCAGACTGGGCTAGACCCAGCCGCTCGGCCCTGGGGCGCCGCACAGACACCCCGCCCCCACCCAACCCCACCAACATCTCTCGCCTGTAAGCGACCCCCCTCCTCTTCACACGCGGTTCACAAACATTAGCATGCGTATGTCAAAGTTTCACACGCTTCCCCACATGCGGCTGTGCTACTCCTCACAAATGCTTTCACACTTGCGCGCCATCACACGTATTTACACATGCCAGATGCTCATGTGTGGTTAGAGTTTGTCACCCGTCATGCCCAGATTCTCACAGTCCATATTCAAGGCCCGTGCGCTCGGTGCACACGTGTGTTGTCGCACACACCGGTCGTGAAGGCCTTTTGGCGCGCCTAAAAGCCAGAGCAGACCCCCTGCGGACAGAGGCTCCCGAGTGGCACAGACACTGATGCACCGAGATGCCTTGAGCCCTACCCACACATGTTGCACACTTGATCACACACAAGGTCGCACTTTATTCCCGGCATCTAGACGCTGACACAATCTCCCGAACAAAGACAACATTGACAAGCCCAACAAAAACAAACAGCCGCGTGTGTGGGGAGGGGCAGCGGAGGGCAGAGTGGGGGGGGGGTTGGAGCAGGAGTGTGGGAACGCGGGCACCTGAGCCTGAGTGTGCAAGGCTCCAGAAAGGTGCGGGGCATATCATCAAGCTCGCGCCCGCAGGATACGCGCGTAGATCGGTGGGTACGAGTTGGTTCTCTTCTGGCGCACGCGACTGTGCCGGGGACGCAGACCCGCCACCCCGTTCAGGCCCACGAAGCTGCACGCAAACCCGCGAGTGAGAACACACAGCGCAGAGCGGATTTGTCCGGGTATAGGCGGGCGCTTGGCCCCGCTCCCCGCTCCCGGCTCCTACCCTTCCCTCCTCCACCGCCCCAGCCCCCCAGCCCCCGGGCAGCCGCGAGCGGGGCGGGCGGGGCAGGGGCGGGGCGGGGTGGCGGGCGGCGCCGGCCCAAAAGGCGGAGTCGCCAGGAGCAGGGGCCAGAGCTCGGCGCGCGCGGTGCTGTCGGCGCCGCGGAGAGAGCCAGCGGGAACCCAGACCCCGAGGCGCCCCCTGTCTCCGCTCGGCCTGGCCAGGCCCCGCGCTATGGAGCTCATTTGGGCCCCTCTCTTGGGTCTGTGCTGCAGTCTGGCCGCTGCTGACCGCCACACCGTCTTCTGGAACAGTTCAAACCCCAAGTAAGCCCCAAGTCTCCCGCGGGCTGCCGGGCGCCTGGTTGGCACTGCACCCCCCCCCTCAGGTTTAACCGTTCTGGCCAGCCCGCGACCTGAGTTTTGGGGAGGTGACCAGAGGCGGGAGGGCTTTCGTAGAGGACTTCCCCCACCCAGCTGGGGGTACCCCACCGGCGTCTACTTGGGTAGGCATGATTTCTGATTTTCCTGCTTCCCTCTCTGCCTGCCACCCCTGTTATTCCCAAGGGAGGGACCCGTGTGAGGACCACCCTGGCTGGCTGCAGGGAGGGTGTTTTAGGCCCTTCCACCGGGAGGGCTTTTCCTTGTCTGTCACTTGGGCATTTGCCCACACTGACAAATACCTGATGTGACCCCAGGAGTAAGCTGAAGGCTCTCTGTGATCCTGGGAGGACTCCCCAGGAGGGGCCTGAGTTGCTGGCAGGAAGCTTCTGTTCTGTATTTAAGGTGACCCTGGAAAGTCCCCACAGGTGGCCTTTGAGTGAGGCAAATGCTCTTGTGGGTAGGCTCAGGGAGTCAGCTGTTTATGAGGGTCAAGTGGCAAAACTGAAGAGTTGGGGGAAGGGCCCGGGTGGGAAAGGGTCGGAGGAATAGAAGGGGTTAAAAAGGTTACCCAGGACTCTGGGCAGGAAGGAGTTAATTTCTCCTGGGCAGGTTTAGGGCGGTGAGGCAAATGGTATTGGAAGGAAGAAGCTCCATCGGGACCCTTTGTTCTTGCCCTTGAGTTTTCTGAAGTTATGGGAACTATATTTGCGGGAAAACAGGAGAAGGGGGGCAGGGGGAGAGAGGAGGGCTGGGCAGCATGGGGTCAGGAAACACTTCACTTAGCTGGGTCACCCCCAGCCTGAGCACGCCTGACCCCCCAGCCCCCTTAGAGAAATTTATGGTGCCAACTTCCTCTGACCCTGGGGCAGCATTGCCTGGTGGGGGGTCTGTGGTCTGTGGCATGGGGGGGGGGGCAGGGAGCTGCCAGCTGCCAACCCCAGAGGGCATTGCCCTCTTGCCCATCTGCCACCAGGCCGTCCCGTCGGCCCTCCCCCACCCTGCTCCTTGCTCCCTGGTCTTTGCTTCCTTGACCCAATCTTGTGTTAGTGGGAGAGAGCAAAGTCCCTGTTTATGCCCGTGCCAGGTGTTGGCTAAAGGAGGAGGAGGGGACAGGAAGCCATGAGTAGGGAGGGGGGCACCCCGGCCTTTTCCGTTCCCAAGCTCCCAGGTTTCCTCTCTTTCAGGAAGGAGCCTCTTCCTTGCCCCCCCTCTTTGCCTTCCCTGACGCTGCTGCCCCCCTCTCCCAGATGGAGAGCAAGAGTCAGAGGAGCACTAAGTGGAACAGATTGTACCACTAGGAGGGGGAGGGATCGGTGTTCCCACCCCGCACAGCTTCTGCCCTTTTGCTTGCCACACGCACCATTCCCAGGACCCAAGGGAAGCCAGCCTGAGTGGAGTCCACAGGCAGCCAAACCGGGCCCAGCTTGGGGGCAAAGATGAGGTGGCAGTGAGCTGGGCGGGTGTGAGGCTGGCACAAGTGACTCAGGGCAGTGGGCATCGGCTCTGGGATCTCCAGGCCCCAGGCAGGGGGCAGAGTGGCGAGGGGGTAGTGAAGAGGGTGGTGCAACTGTGAACAGGGTATTGACCTGCTGGAGGGGCAGGTACCCCACCCATTCAGACCTGCCAGCTCCCTTTGCATGGAGGACAGTGCCCAGGGCAAGTGGGCACCATGCCATCCCGGGGGTCCAGGGGGCTGTCCACATTTGACAAGGTAAATTTTCACAGGTTCTCATGAGTGCTGGGGCGGGTAGTAGAGGTGGAGGAGGAATGAGTCAGTGCCCGTCACGGGAATGGGGGAAAGACGCCAGGCCCTGAGCTGAAATACCTGTTCTGAAATGGCTTCTATGTTTATCTCTCCAGAGAGGAATTTTAAAAGCCTCTCTCTGCCTCTCTCTCTCTCTCTCTCTCTCTCTCTCCTCTCTCTCTCACCCTCTTGGTCTTTTCCCCAGGGTGGGGGAGGGGTGCTAGGAAGCCAAGCTTGAGCACCAGCGAGCTCCTGCAAGGCCAGCCTTTTTAAGGGTCACCCTCACTGGGCAGTGGGTGCTCACTGCACAGACCTCCTGGCCTAACTCCTGCCCCTCCTCCTCCACCCATGCCTAGGGCTTTGGTTTGATGCAAGTTGGCAGCCAACTTGCTGAGTCTCTAGCTGGCAGTGCTTAGGGGAATTCGGAGAAGCTGACCAGCTTGGAGAGGGAGGTGGGGAGTCACTTTCCCCCCTGCTAGAACCCCACCCAGGCTGGAGCCAGGTGTCTGGAGCTGGGGGGAGGGGTGGTGGGCAGTCGGGCTGGAGCCAGTGGAGACTGAGGGGGTGGGGGGCAGGCTGGGAGAGGGGAGCTGGCTCCACCTGGGAGGAGGGGAGAGGCAGTCTCAGGGCTGAGAACTCCAGCATTCCTGTAGCCCACTCTTGGGAGGTGACTGTGGCTTTGGGAGATGAAGGAGCAGGGATAGTGGAGAAAGAAGTAGACAAGGAGACCTGAGCAGCTAGAAAATTTGAGGTGACTGAATGACTTGATGGAAGCGTTTTAACTTAAGGAATCCAGGCATTATCTGTGGACCCGGGTATCCTGGGTGTTTGGGGGGAAAGTGCAGCCGAGAAAAGTGAGGTTTCTTCCCCTGAAGAAAGGAGAAGAAAAGGCAAAGAATGAGAGAAGGGAACACATTCCCATGTAGGGGGCTCAGTGCCAGCATGGGAAAGAGAAAGGGCTACTTGGATCCTGATTATAGATTTGGCCAGTGGGTCTCAGACTGATATAGCAGCATTTAAAGGAGCAAGGGGTAGGATAGATTTGGGGGAATGTCCACGGGTGGAAGAGAATGGTGAGTGAGATGTGGAAATATCTAGAAGCCCATCCTTGAGTAAATACCAGAAGGGTTAGGGGAAGTACTGTGGCACCTGAAAGATGCTAAGTTGGTGCTACTTAGAAGATTAATGGGAGACAATGATGGGGCTAGGAGTGTTTGGAGATGGTGGAAAGATATTTAAGAAATCAAGGTCAGTAAATATTGGGAGTTGAGATTTTTGAAAAATCCTTAGCGGGTGGGGATCTGGTGTGAAATGTGAGGGGTCGTGTAAACATTCGGAGGCTTAAGACTCTGGCTGAGTGACCACCTACCTTCTCCCCCTTGCACGCCCAGGTTCCAGAATGAGGACTACACGGTACACGTGCGACTGAATGACTACCTGGACATCATCTGTCCACATTATGAGGATGACTCTGTGCCAGAAGCTGCCATGGAGCGGTACACACTCTACCTGGTGGAACGTGAGCAATACCAGCTGTGCCAACCCCAATCTAAGGACCAGGTCCGCTGGCAGTGCAACCAGCCCAATGCCAGGCATGGCCCGGAAAAGCTGTCTGAGAAGTTCCAGCGTTTCACCCCTTTTACCCTGGGCAAGGAGTTCAAAGAGGGACACAGCTACTACTACATGTGTGAGTGCCTGGGGGATGTGCTCGGGCACAATGCAGGGACTTTGGAACATGCTTAGCGAGGAGTCATTAGCAGCAGGTCCCTTCCCATCCCGATTCTGTATTCATTCATTCACACTAAAAACGTGGAGGGAGCTTCTGTCATGCACTGGGTGCCCTGCTTGGCACTGTAGGCACAGAACACCAGGGTCCCTGCCCTCCAGGAAACAAGAAAGAGGCACATAGGGTAACGGCCCATTCGAACAGCGTAACATGGAAAAATGACCCCAGAGCATAGGAGAAGCAGAGGAGGTCGCCAGGCGGGAGGGAGCACTTGCTCAGGCAGCGTGCTGTCTTCAGGGAATGCCATTGGAGGGACACTGGAAGTGGAGTTGATGAGCTGGGAGGGGTGGACAGGGTAGGTCCTGGGAGCCTAAGAAATGCTAAGGAGTTTGGACTCTTTCCTGAGGACAGCAGGGAGCTGCTGGCGTGTGTTAAGAGTTAGAAGATCAGCTTTGTGTAGAATTGGTCCAGGACTCACTCTGTCATTCGGGCCTGGGCTGGGCAGTATAAAAAGGCCAGGATAAGGGGATACTTTGTGAAGGCCTCACCCCCCTTTAGGGTTGGAGGAGTGAAACTTGGGGAGGGCGCAGTGTCTATGTGCTGTTTACCTCCAAAGGCAAGGGTTATCCTAAAGAATGGGAGCTTCCCCGCTCTGGCTCTGGTGAATTCTCTCACCCTCCCGCGCTTCTGACTGTACCCAGTGCATGTATAAACAAAACAAACAAACAAAATAAATAAATAAATAAAACATGCCTCTATAAAAAAAAAATAAATAAAGAATGGGAGCTTGCGCGGAACATTGGGCAGAAAGTAGGCAAAAACTAAGGAAGGTAAGAATCAAAGCTTAAAGGGGGCAGAGGGATTAAAATGAACAGAGACCAAGAAAGCAGGGCCAGGGCCATTTGCCTTTGTATTTTCTCCCAACAAAGGATCCTTCATTAATACCCTGTGGGTTTATCTTGCAGCCAAAGCCGTCCACCACCAGGAAGACCATTGCTTGCGGTTGAAGGTGACCGTCAGTGGTAAAATCAGTGAGTGTCAGGGCCTATGGCCCGCCTTCCTCCATTTCTGTGGGCCTGGCCTAGAGATCCTGGGTGGGAGGAAAGTCCCACTGCCCAGCCCAGCCGTCTGCTTTCAGGCGCCATACCTGATCTACCACCACCTTGTCTTTCAGCTCACAGTCCCCAGGCCCATATCAACTCACAGGAAAAGGGATTGCCAGCAGGTAGGTAGATGAGCAAATTGGGCTTGGGGCACAGAAGAAGGGCTGCTTGGGGAGGTTGGGTGCAAGCGGTGGCTCCTTTGCCAGGCAGGACCTGGGGAAACCTTGTTGGGCTGAGGGCGATTACCAGTGTTGGGGCCACTCACCCAAGGGACTTTTGCCCTCTCACTTTGCAGATGACCCGGCTGTGCAGGTCCTACATAGCATCGGTCACAGTGCTGCCCCCCGCCTCTTCCCACTTGCCTGGGCTGTGCTGCTCTTGCCATTGCTGCTGTTGCAGACCCCGTGAAGGTGTACGCCACATCTGGCGTAAGGATTGGAACTAGGCTGAGGAGGCAGGGGCAGGCACCCCTCACCTGTCCTGCGGCCCCTCCCAAAGCCTCAGTCCTGGGAACCATTCCCACAACATGCACAAGCTGCCACCTGGCAGCCTCAAAACGAGTCAGTATTAAGGGTTTCAACCAAAAGGTGGTTGGCAAGCCTGCAGTGTGAACCCCACATTCACCTCAGAGGGTCGAACAAAGAAGTGGGGACAGTGCTTTCCCCACTATTCCTGCCCTTAAGCCAAAGAAACAAGCTGTGTAGACGGTCTTTTAAAAAGGGCTCTGTGGGAGCCCAGCTGAAGAAAGGACCTGGGGTCCTGCTGATAGACACTGAGCTCAGCAGAGATGCCCTGCCCAGAGAGCCAGGAGGCCCAGATGAACTGACTGAAGGAAAAGCAAGAGGAGGTGTCCTGCTTGGAGGCGAGGACAGCATGCTTGGGCTGACCCAGCATCTCCCCCGAGACTTCGGTTTGTGGAGCTGCCACGGAGGGGTTTGCAGCCAGACACTGCAGCCTTCCAGAGCTGTGCCAGCAGGGGGGCTGTGCCAACCTGTTCTTAGAGTGCAGCTGTAAGGGCAGTGCCCATGTACACAGAGTCTGTGCCTGGAGTTAGCCTGAAGGGCAGTGCCCACTTGTACAGGATCTGTATATAAATTTGCTGTGCGTCTGAGCTGATTTCTACAACTGGAGTTTTTTTATACAATGTTCTTTGTCTCAAAATAAAGCAATGTGTGTGGTTTTTGGACATGCGTTATTTGCCCCTCCATCCTAATTTATGACCACCGAGTCCCTGCTGCGTGCTACACCGGTTGATGGGGGCGTTGATATTTTCCCCTCTCTCTGGAAAGTATATATCCCCCCCTCACCAGTCCCAAAGGGTGGAGTGTTTCCCTCCCACGGCTATGTGGGACAGGAGTGCTCCCCATGCAGCCTCAGCTTCTAGCCTGCATCCCACTTTGGGAGTTCTTCCTTTCCAACTTCTGCCCCACTCCCACCCTCTGGGCACTGGGCTTGGGCCTGCCATTCTGTTCAGGTACTCATGCTGCTGGGTGAGTCAGGGCTGGCTGGCCTGGAATGCCAGCTTAGGCATGGTGCCTGCCCCACTGCTCCACCAAGAGCTGTGTGGGAGGAGGGAAGGAAAGTTCCCTGCGGAAGGACTTGCTAGGGGATCAGGGATACCCCAGTTAGTGGTGCTGAAGGGGGAATGGACCTGACGAACTCTTGGTGGTTCTTGTCTATCCCTGCTGTCTGGTGGAGAGACTGGGATGAGGCCTCAGCAAACCGAGAGAATCTCCCAAGCCCTGGGCAACTGAGGTGGAGCTCTGGAGAGGAAACATGTTTTTTGTTTTAAAGATTTTTTTTTTTTATGCATATAAGAACTGGGGTGTAGACCACAGGGGCAGGGGCGGTGAGAAGATTGACCAGAGACAGAGCGGGGAACAGAACAGGCAGACTAAGACTGCTGAGGGGAGCAGCAGACGAGACAGGAGAGGACTGCTGCGCCATTGGCTGGCTCCCTGGCAGGGCGTCGAACTCGTGCTGCTGTGGCTGCCGATAGCTTCAGTGCTGAGACTTAACCCCCTGCACCCCCAGGGAGGCCTGGGAACCGTTTTTTTTAGCACAGAGAAGTCCAGCAACATTTTGTTTTGAAGCTCACCACGCAGGCTCCCGGGCCTGTGGGGAAGAGCTATGGCTGAGGGCGAGGAGGTAGCAAGTAGTGAGGGGCCGCGGGTGCCCTCGAAGCCCGAGGGAGGGAGCCCGCCGGGGTCTGGAGGGCACGTCGGGCTCAGAAGCCCCGCGAGCCGTCGGGAGAGGCGCGGGCGCTCGCTCGGCGGGGCGGAGCCTGAGTTCCCGCTTGACGTTCCCGGGGTGGGCCAAGTTCCGCTCCAACTTCCGGGCGGGGGGAGCGCCCGGGGGCGGAGTTGGGGTACGAGGGGCGGGGCTCCGGCGTCGCGGGGTTTCAGACCGAGCTTGTCCGGGCCTCGCGCCGAGCGCGGGACCCCACAGCCTGCGGGATGGAGGCGGGCGGCGTGACCGACTCGCTCCTGTCCGCAGCTTGCGTGTTCTTCACCCTCTGCATGTTCTCCACCGGCCTGTGAGGACGCGGCCGGGCCGGGCTGGGGAAGACCAGGAAGTCAGGAAAGAGGGGATTCAGAGGGGGCCGCAGCCCCAGGCTGCGTCCGGAATCTGGGGTCAAATTGGAATTGTGGGGAGGGAGCCGGGATAGCTGGGCGAGGCTGATCTCTGGACCCGAGGGAAAAGGCCAGAGAGCTGAGGGCGGAGCCCGGGAGCTGTCTGGGGAGGAGCACAGGCTTTGGGGGTCTCAACTCCCCAGTAGCCTCCCTTCCCACTTGTCACCCCTGCCTTCGGGGCCCCGTTACAGCTCGGACATCAGGCACATGTGGATCACCCGGAGCGTGGACAGTGTCCAATTCCTGCCCTTTCTCACCACGGATGTCAAGTGAGAGGGGAGATGGCTGCTGCGGGAAAGGCTGTCTCAGGGGAGAGGGGTGTGGGGTGAAGAGAAATCTGGAAGAGGACCCTGGGGTCCCTCTCCCACACTCAACCCCCGTGGGCGAATGTCCCTCCCCTCCACCCTGCAGCACCCTGAGCTGGCTGAGTTATGGAGCCTTAATAGGAGATGGGACCATAATCGTCGTCAATGCCGTGGGCACGGTGCTGCAGACCCTCTGTGTCTTGGTGTATCTGCACTACTGCCCTCAGAAGGTAGAAGCCCTCCCTTGGACACAATACCGCTGCCGGCCCTTCCCTGTTGGCAAGGCAAACACTGCTTCTTAGAAGACTTACAAGCTAGCCCCGTCATCTTTTCCTGGAAGACCCCTCCAGCCTTGCAATCTTCCTCCATGAAGCCAACCTTCTGAGACACACCTGCCCCTCATTCTGTCCAGGCTGGCAGCCTTGCCTAGCCTGATGGTTCCTTGCTCCCCAACAAGCTGAAGAGAAAGGGCTTTTGTCTTCATAGATCCTTCAGAGGCAGGAACAGTGACTGAGAAGGAGATAATTAGCTCTGCTTCCCCACTCAATCACCCGAGTATTTATTAGGTTCCTACTGTGTGTACCAACCTCACAAAGACAGGACTCCCTAGAAAGCCACAGCACTGTGAGTGGATTAGACATGTGCTCAAGTCACTGGTGGGAAAGCAGCTGTGAGAAGTACAACACCAGAGACTTAGGCAAAGTTGGCCCCCCCAACTGGAGGAGGGGGGCGTGAGGGGCGGGGAGGCAGGAGGCATTCCTGCTGAGAGTCCTAGGAGGACTCATAGCACATCTAGAAGTAAGGCTACTCTTTCCCCTACAGCGTGTAGTGCTCCCTCAGACTGCAGCCACACTGATGGTCTTTCTCCTGGCTTTTGGCTACTTTTGGTTCCTGGTGCCGGAGGAGGACCAGCTTCAGCAGCTGGGCCTCTTTTGCTGTATCCTCACCATCTGTATGTACCTCTCACCAATGGCTGATTTGGTGAGTTTGGTGTCCAGGGAGGTGGGGGGAGATAAGGATCAGGCTTCCATTACCAGAGACTAGCTTACACTCCAGAGTAAGGGAATCCTGGAAGGAGACAGGCAGTAGAGGCGGGTGAATGGGAGGCAGGAGGGATACATTGGCTAACAGCAGCTCACAGGAGATACTTGATCTCTTTCTGATAAAATTCTTAAGGTAGGAATTTTACTGTCTGGCCTAGGAGTGTCTTTCATCCTTTCCCACAGGTCAAGATCATTCAGACTAAATCAACCCAACGCCTCTCCTTCTCACTCACCATTGCCTCTCTCTTCTCCTCTGCCTGCTGGACCCTCTATGGGTTTCAACACAGAGACCCCTACATCATGGTAAGCAGAACAAGGATGGGGAGACAGGTGTGAAAAGTGGAAAATCAGCTCCTCTCTTCATAGCAGCCATGTGATTTCAGGTGCCCAACCTTCCAGGAGTGCTCACAAGCTACATTCGACTCTGGCTTTTCTGGAAGTACCCCAAGGAGAAAGACAGGAACTATCAGCTCCTGCAAACCTGAGGGAGTTCACCTGACCACAGGGCACCTTAATGCCAACCTTTTACCAAAGAGTTCCTCACTTCAGCTGTCCCTGCTGACTAGCTCCATGTGTGTTTCAAGAGACAACTTTGAGAACTGAGGGACCAAAGAGATTTATTTAGAAGATTGGGTGGGAACTAAAAGATGAATCACTTTAATTTTTTAGAGATTATATTTTTTACTTTTGGAGGTTGGGGTGAACTCTTTAGAATGTGCCTTAAAAATAAAATGTTCCGTTACCCCTGCGCATCAAGGCTCATTTTCTGTTCAGTGATTCTTAACATGTCCTGTTTTGTGAAAGGCAGACCGGCACTGCCCCATCCAGTTATTATTGGGCTGGCACAGTTGGCTCAGAAAAGGTATCAGAAAGAACCCAGAGGTTGGAAAGACCGAAGACCTTAAAAAGAGCAAGGCTTGGATGTTGTGATGAATGATAGTCAGGCTTCAGTTAGTACTTCACCGCAGGGTTAAAAGGACCAAGGCAATGATATGACAGTTGCATCCTGGGAGATTTTGAGGGGGATCTTTGCCTCCTTTGGAGCCAAAAGGAGGAACACCAACAGCATGCAAAAAGAAAAGATGTCCTCAGAAAAGTGGTTCTCGACACCCGGCACAGAGAACCTCAATTCCCATTCTCCATACTCAAACAAAGTTAGAAAATAAACTCGCTCTTTAATGAGGGATGGAAGGGAGGGCTGCCCGGCGGGGATGGGTCTAGGGTGTCAGAAGCGCATCCCCCTGCGGGTTAAGTCGGCTCGTGCCTCCAGGATCTGGCTCTGCAGCTCGCGAGCGGCGTCCTCGCAGTCGTGGAAAGTGGCCACGCGATAGCCCACAGTGCCCAGGGCGTAGCAGCCGGCCGACACCAGCAAGTAGGCGGGCAGTGGCCACAGGACCTCCCGGCATGCCCAGGGCAGCTCCAGGCCCAAAGCTCCCATGGTCAGGGCTGCCCAGGTGGAGCCCAGGAGCGCTAGTCCCCAAAGCCACTGAGCTAACTTCGTCATGGTCACTGCGGGAAAAGAAAGAAAAGGTGGAGGTCGCTTCCACTCCGCTACTCCCGCTTCATCTGAGACCCATTCCCTGTCCTCCCTCCCCGTCTCGGTAGCACCGAGCCTCAACACCACTCCTCCGTCGCTCTCGCCCTCCCCTGCAAGCCGTCAAACTACACCTACCTATGCTCCCGGCTTCTCCCCTTCCGCGCGCGCGGCTGCAGCAGCGGCAGCCGGAAGTCCTCTACTGCGCGTGCTCACCCCTGCTCGGCATTCTGGGAGTCGTAGTCCGCGTGGCGGCGCCGCGGGCTCCCAATGATGGCGTTATCCAGTCTGATTTCAGCCGACTATGCTCCACAAACCGTGATCTGGGTCGCGAGGGGCTGCAGAGCTGCTGCTTCTTCCGCGGGACCCAGCTCCAGGCTGTCGTGGGGTTTTTAGAAAGCCTGAGGACTCCCTTAATCCTTGCAACAATGTGGGAATGTGATAACGTTCCTCTTAAATTTACTCCTGCCCAGAACATTCATTCTTTCACTTATTTATTCTTAATAAATAAATATATATATATATATATATATATATATATATATAGAGAGAGAGAGAGAGAGAGAGAGAGCCTCCTTGGTGGTGCAAGGGGTTAAGTCTTAAGTCTCAGCACTATGAAGCAATCTGCAGCCACTGCAGCATGAGTTCTATCCCTGGCCAGGGAGCTACCCACATGGTGCAGCAGACCTCTCCTGTCTCACCTGCTGCTCCCCTCAGCAGTGTATTACAGTAGATCTGCCTGCTCTGCTCCCCACTCTGTCTCTGGTGAATCCTCTCCCCCCCTCCCCGCCCCTCTCTTCTGGCCTAGACCCCAGCTCTTGTATGCCTAAATAAACAAATCTTTAAAAAAAAATTTTATTTATTTTTGCGTAGAACTGGAGTGCAGGCCAAAGGCTGGGGGGGGGGAGGGCGGGTGAGGGAGGAGAGGGGGCTTTTCTTCATTCTTTCACTGGAACGTTTCTTCAGTGCCCACAGAAATAGAGTTGTCAAGACATAAGGTCCCACCTGGGGTGGAGGACAAGGGCAGGAGTCTTGAAAGAAAGATGCTTTAACAACAAACCCTGATGCCTTGAGAAAGTGTTAAAACAGAAGTGGTCACATTTTTATAAGGAAACGTAGGGGAGCAATCAATGCAGCTCAGAGTTAAGGGATGAAGGTCTCCGGGCAGATGTCTTTAAGGAAGTAATAAAAAAAAAAACAAAAAACGGGAACAGAGGAATAACCTAACCGGATAATGTTTGAGATGTTGAGAGAAGGTGTATAATACATCTTTCAAAGAATTTTGGGGGTGAACTCATTATGCGTATGTAGAAAACCAAATGGAAGAAAAGGTCAGGCAATTATCAACCTCAGGAAAAACAAAGCGTTATGAAAGAAAGGAAAGGAAATTGATAAAAGCCAGTCTGATAAAGACCACTAGGAACATAACTAGTTAGAGAGAGGTCTATTAACTTGCTGTGAGAGAGCGCAAACTCCCGGAACTGTTGGGCGGCTCATCAAACAAAGAAAAAACAGGGTCATTACAGGATATGGGAAAGGGTTGAGTTTAGGTCATATTTAAATGAAGCAGTGTTTTGATAGGCTCCAGGTAAGCACAGATGTAAGTGAAAGGTAGAATCAACAAGCCTGGGCTGAGAAGTATGCTGAAGGTCCACTTAGAAACTACAAAATTAAGATAATTAATTGTAGATAATTATATAATAGATAACTACATAATTAAGATAAATGTAGAACAGTTGTGTCCAAAACCCCATTATCTGAAGCTTTGCACCTAGTTTGGAAACCTAGACTGCTTCTCTGTGTCAACATAATTGACATGACTCAAGCCTCCAGGCAAGAGTGGGCTATTCCATTCTCACTAATTTCAAATAGCAAAGTTGTGACTGTCTATGATTTTTAAAATTATTTATTTATTTATTTATTATTTATTTATTTATATAAGAACTGGGTACAGGTCAGAGGCACGGGGGGCGGGGGGACAAGAGAATTCACCAAAGAGAAGTGGGGAGCAGAACGGGCAGAAGGACCAAAGACACTGCTGAGGGGAGCAGCAGGCAAGACAGGAGAGGTCTGCCGCCCCATCTCCCTGTCCGGGCAGGAATCGAACCCACGCTTCAGAGGCTGTGGACAGCTTCACAGCACAAGGCTCAACCTGCTGCGTCTCCAGGGAGGCCCTATGATTTTTTAAAAGATTTATTTATTTATGCATACAAGAACTGGGGTGCAGGCCAGAAGTGTGGGGAGATGAGAGGATTCACCAGAGACAGTGGGGAACAGAACAGGAGGAATGACTGAAATACAGTGCTGAGGGGAAGCAGCAGGTGAGACAGGAGAGGTCTGCTGTGCCATGTGGGTAGCCCCCTGACTGAGGATCAAACATTCATGCTGCAGTGGCTGCAGATAGCTTCATGGGTTGCGTCTTAACCCCTCGCACCACCAGGGAGGCCCTGTATATGATTTTTTTTTTTGACAAGCATTTTTTTTTAATCGAGGCATGTTTTACTTATTTGTTTGTTTGTTTGTTTGTTTATACATGCACTGGGTACAGTCAGAAGCGCGGGAGGGTGAGAGAATTCACCAGAGCCAGAGCGGGGAGCAGAGCAGGCAGAAGGACCGAAGCACACTGCTGAGGGGAGCAGCGGGCGGCAGAAGAGGTCTGCGCGCCATGTGGGACCCTCCTCCGGTGGCTGGGGAGCAGCTGGGGATCGAACCAGCGCCGCAGAGGCTGCAGGCAGCTTCGCAACCCAGCGCTCAACCGCTGCGCCACCGGGGAGGCCCCTGTCTATGATTTTTAAAGACTGGAGTGCCTAACCCCCATGTCCTTGATGTTAATTAAAAGCAGTTTTTACAGATTCACAGTCTTAGTACAAACACTACATAACACAGTGCTAAAGAATATTTTCACAGTCATGATATTGTAAACACTGAATATTGATCTAACTAAAAACTGAAGTATATTTGAATTGAAAGGGTGGGAAAAGGGTACATTAGGAGAGTCGGGATTAGAGAATCACCCCTTATCTTCCAGAGCAGGTGTCAATCGATTATATCTAAAATAGAAAAATGAAATAATAATATGAGACTGTTATTTTGCAATGTAGAGGTAAGTACCAAAAGAAGCAGCCAAAATATTTGAGAGTAGTTCATGGAGGAGTGTGTGAGGTAGGGGAGGAGGGGCAGCAAAAAGCTGAAGGGGGGGAGCTGTTCTTTTTTTTTTTTTTTAAGATTTATTTATTTATTCATACAAGCACTGGGCACAGTCAGAAGCACGGGAGGGCAAGAGAACCCACCAGAGCCAGAGCGGAGAGCAGAACAGGCAGAGTGAGGAAGTACACTGCTGAGGGGAGCAGCGGGCGGCAGGAGAGGTCTGCACGCCATGTGGGACCCTCACCCGGTGTCCAGGAACTGAACCGGCGCAGCAGAGGCTGCGGGCAGCCCCGCAACCCAACGCTCAACCGCTGCGCCACCAGGGAGGCACAGGAGCTGTTCTTTTTCATTAAATGAAATTGACTTCTTAATGAATTGACTTCTTAAACTCTGAAAATTTATTTAAGACAAAATAATATGATGTTAAACCTGCTGTATTCAGGGCCTCCCTGGTGGCGCAAGGTGTTAAAACACAACCTATGAAGCTATCCGCAGCCACTGCAACACGAGTTCGATCCCCAGCCAGGGAGCTACCCACATGGCACAGCAGACCTCTCCTGTCTTGCCCATTGCTCCCCTCAGCAGTGTATTTCAGTCAGTCTGCCTGTTCTGTTCCCCACTCTGTCTCTGGTGGATCCTCTCACCCCCCACGCCTCTGGCCTGTGCCCCAGCTCTTGTATGCATAAATAAAATAAATCTTTTTTAAAAAAGAAATAAACCTGTTGTATTCAAAGTGTCATTTCCCCTCAAATCTACCAGTAGCACAGTCAACACCTCACTGGTCACAATGACTTTCAGATATTGGCATAATGTGGGGGCTTGGCATCAGACATTTTATTTTATTCACCACAGTAGATATAGCCCTGAAAGACTGCCACTCCCCAGAAAAATTTCAGGGGAAAGGTAATAAAGGGCTTGACCCAACATCTATAAGGACGGATAATAAACTTTAACATTGTAGTAATAATCAGCAAAGAATAAATATTCATTGAGAGGCTATTATGTGTCTCTGTGTCATATATGTCATGCATGATAGATGGCTATTATGTCCTGGGTGATATTGACATGTCTAATTTTCACATCATGCTGTGGTAGGTGTTTTTATATCCCCATGAGTGAATGGGGAAATTCAAACAGAGAGATAGTAAAAGGTAAGTGACTTGCCTGAGGTGGTACAGATAGTAAGCAGCAGAGCTGTTTCATTCCACTCGAAGCAATGTACTCTCACCCTTCTGAGTTACGTACAGGAATGGGCAGGGCAGATACAGATCATCCTTGCAGCCGACATTCATTGATTGATCATTCTGTGCCAGACACTGTGATGAGCACTTTATGTGCATTATCTCATTCAATCATCACAGCCACCATAGGAAGTAGGTACTATTATTATCTCCATTCCACAAATGAGGAAACTGAGGCACACCCCAGATGACCTGACTTCAGAGCCTGCAAACTTAGCCATTAGAATATTGGGCCTCCCTCCCTAGATCAATGGAACGGATAAAAAGTGAAGAAACAGATCAAACCTATACCAATTGAACAGAGGACACAGGTGGCATCTCCAGCAAGTGATGAAGCATGGATTTTTTTTTAATTTTAAGTTATTTATTTTTGCATAGAACTGGGGTGTAGGCCAGAGGTGCAGGGCCTGAGAGGATTCACCAGAGGTAGAATGGGGAGAACAGACCAACTTACTGAAATATGCTGCTGAAGGGAGCAGTGGGCAGGACAGGAGAGGTCTGCTGCGTCATGTGGGTCAGCTCCCTGGCCATAGCCTTGAGAGTGCTCAGATTTAACCCTAGGCCGCGAGGGAGGCCAGAAGCATGGATTATTTGAAAACCATTTGCAACTAGCTTACCATTTGAAAAAGTAACTTTAATTAGATTTCCACCTTACACTTTATACCAAAGTTATTTCCCCTTGCATTAAAAAAATTTTAATGTGAGACATGAAAGTCACAAAGAGAGTCTGCACTGGTGGCGCCAGCGGTTGAGCGCAGCGCTGTGAAGCTGTCCACAGCCTCCGCAGCGCCAGTTCGACCC